TATTAAATTGAAAGTTTTTAAACATGAGTTGTAACACCCCCAACCCGTATCCCAACCCGGATACGAGTCAGAGATATTACATTGACTTTTAAAACACAACTCATTACAAATAATAGTAAAATACTTGAACTTATATTACGAAAAATACAATAATATACATATGGTAATATAAGTTTACCAAAATATTCAGAGCATACACAACTTAACTCTTTAATTACATGCCAACATCCATTTTCATAACAAAATGACCTACTGATTAAGTTGCTTCTGATCTGATAGTTGCATGAGTAATGTTTTCCAGCTGCTTAACCTCGATCGTCTACTTTATCGGATCCTACGTGTGAAACGCTCACACGCTAAGTCATCGACTTAGTGAGGTAATATAATAATAATATCAATAAATATAAAGTAATTGCCAAAATGAGATGGGTTGCAGTAATAAGATGTATGTAAACAATGCAATAACCAAAACCATGTTTCTTACACATATACTTATCAAATTCAAATTCATAAGTTCGCCTTAGTAAGTTCATTAGCCCATGGTACCATGCAGAGAACCTAAGGTATGTGAGTATTGTGAGGTTGTGCACTATGCTGTCACCACAACTCGTATAATTGCACCTAAGTGCCACTTAGAATTGCACCGGAGTGCCGCGTAGAATTGCACCGTAGTGCCATATAATAATGTCCATAAGGACCACATATCATTCCTTAAGAATCATATACATATGCCAAGGATCAAGCATGTGTCTCACCAGACCTCACACATGTTCCAAAGAATGCATATATGTCCCGAAGGACCACAAATCATTCCTTAAGAATCATATACATATACCAAGGATCAAGTAGGTGTCTCACCAGACCTCACACATGTTCCAAAGAATACATATATGTCCCGAAGGACCACATAGACCCTCTACCCTTGGCATGCCAACTATATCTATAGTTATCATTTGCATAACATGGGCTTTCACAATTTATCTAATTTATATCACGTAGACATATTATTTCCATACCTTTATCATATAACTCATATAACTTTTTCTTTCATATTCATGTCCCATAATGCATATGGTATGGATTCATGTTCTATATCATCATATGAACTACGATCATGTATCAAAATATTGAATCTAGACTTATCACAAGTCTAGAACTGAATAAAATACATATTCATGCTATGCATATGCACTCACCTAGATTTCTTTGTCTTTCCCTCGATTGATCCTACTTGTCGATGGTTCTGGAACTCGATTAGGCTCAATATCTACATAAGAAAAATTTTCAAGATGATTATCAGATGCCTAAGTCTTGAAATTAACCTCTAATAGCCTACCAATTTAAGGGATTGATAGTTTAGTCTCTCTTCTTTCTTTTCTTTTTTTTTATTATGGGGGAATCGGTTCCCCCCTGGGGGTATCGATTCCCCTCTAGCGTTCTGGAAATTCATATTCGTTTGAGGGGGTATCGATTCCCCTTGAATGGGTATCGATTCCCTTAGCCCATAAATCCTATTTTGAGCTCGAAATTCACTTCATTTCAGCTTAAACCTTCATATTTTACTTCCTTTAATATTCCTAACTTCCATACACATATTTAAACTCATTTCTATTCCATAATCACTTCTTTAAACCCAAAATTCCATCATTTACATGGCATTCAAGAATCACACTAAATTTTCAAGGTGTTCTAATTCCAATTCTAACACTTCATATCCCTTAATTAACATGATGACAAGTCAAATCTCACTTCCAATTCTTATTATGAACTATAATCTAAGATTTCACTTTTCTACTTCCTTTCTTTAATTCTTCATATACTTCTCATCTTGAGGTTTTAAAACAATTTAAACTTCCTTTAAGCTTAACTATTGCCTAATGGTCATGAATCAACCATAAATTCATCAAGAAATTCACTAACAAGAGAATCTTACCTTAGCTTGGGTCTCACGTATGAAGAAGAAGAAAGAAGAAGATGACTCTGGAAGCTTGTTTTTAATTTCCTATACTTCCACGTGGTTAATATAATACTAACCCCAATAATTATATTACTATAAAAAGACCATTTTGTCCTTCTAATCTTCCTTCTTTATAATTCAATCCTACACAAAATAACTCAAATAAGTCATTGAACTCTTCCATCATTCTACTTAAATCACCAAATGCTGAAACTTTACAAATTAATCACTAACCCGGCATGGAGGATGTTACATGAGTGACCAAAAATAAAATTAAGAAAAAAAAGGTTGAGTGATGATTTGTGTAGTTTATCCTATTTATTTTCAATGGTTGAGATGATCCCTCGCCAAATCCAACTGTTAATATGCCTTTGTCGTAAGATTGTGGCATGTTAATGTTTTCATTTTAGCTTAATGTAACATTAAGTGTTCAAATTACATCTTAAGTCAATGTTAAGTGTTTAATTTTTTTTATTTAAAATAAATGTCTAACATTTTTAACTTTAAATTTTAGACGTCTACAATGTAATATCTATTAAAAAATATTATCTAATATATATTATACTTATATTTTTTAAAAAAATAGAAGTATTATTTTAAAGAACATTAAGAAAAACCAAATACCCTAATTTCCTAACACCAACCCCGTACATGCCTATTCTCCCCAAGCCCTCTCCCTGGAGCGCTATTGCTAATTTCACCCCTTCTCCCTGTTCAGTTCAGCAGTTAGAGGTAGAGCTGGGTATACGGGCTACTCGCCCGTTTAGTCCGCGTGTTTTAACGGTGCGGGCTTAAACGGAGTGGTTTAAAAAGCCCGCAATCATAAACGGTCTTGAATTCTAAGGCCTGTTGTCCGTACCATTTAACTCGCGGGCTAACGGGTTTACCCGCGACCCGTTAAATAACAACAATTTTAAATGTTTTAAATACAATAAAAAATAATGTTCTAACTTAATAACTATGAAAACTCTAACTCCCCTTTTATAAGGATTGCCCTCTTCTAGATAAGAAAGTTTATTAAAAGTGAATCTCACCAAAATAGGGATTTTTAAATACCCTCATCCTTATTTAAAGATAAGAATAATTCAATAGAGTCTTTCAGCCGTCATTAAACTCCTTTTACCTTATAAATTCATAACCCTAATTTAGGGTTGTATGGACTGGTAAGGCGTGCTCATGCCTTAACAGAAGACTTCTTATGCGATAGCTCATGATGAATAAGCCGTGCCCACACCTTATGAAAAAACCTCTTCTGGTCTTGCAAACTTCTTGAATTCCGATTTTTCCTCCTTAATTTAGGGATTTCGTGAAGATCATGCTATTCATTGGATTTTGAACTTGTTTAACCCAAATCTTCAACCTAACCCACAAAATACGAAATATAATCAAAATCCATGATTTAAGCAATTTTAATCATTCAAATATGAGGAAAATATCAAAGAATATATGACTAATGTGCATCTTATCAATAAGTCTCAATAAGTCTAAAATAAATAACACCATAACACCGTTAATTCTCTATAAGTCTAAAATAAATAACATTGTAACACTAATAAGTCTTAATAAGTCTAAATAAAATAAACATCAATAATATTCAGTGTTCTTTGAATCATTGGATGTAGTTGAATCTTCCATTTTTCCAATCATCAGAGACTTGTCCACTTCATCTACAATATAAGAAAAATCATAATATATTAAATAGTTTAAATTTTTAAATCAAAAGTAAATTTATAAAGAAACAATTTTACTAAACATTAAGAATTATAATATTTACCTTCAACCTCAAATTATAACAAACATTAAGAATTGTAATATTACCTTCAACCTCAAATCCTAACAACCAATTTTTGGTACATATTAAAGATTCGCCATTTTCCGGAATGAGACAACTTCAGTATTTGTTGAGAACACGAGAGCCAATGCTAAATGCCGATTCTGATGCAACAATTGTAATTTGAATGCTCATAATGTCACATGCCATCAATGCAAGATCTGGAAATTTAAGTTGATTCTCCTTCCAATAATGCAAAAGATCAAGACATGAATGTAAGTTAAAGAAAGCTGGTTCGAATCGACGATGTTGCGCTACTGGTTCGTGAGAGACTGAGAGTGTGAATTGAATTTGGGGGCTTGCTTTAGTTACTTGCTTCAGTGTGAATTGGGAACATTTACTCGTAGGGTTTCGAAATGTGAGTGGGGCTATTGGCATTTGGGCTTCATATTTTAAAATTGTATATCATCAAATTAAAACGTGAATTGAGCTTCAGACTTCAGTGCACATAAAACGTGAATTAAGCTATGGCTAAAATGCACATAAAACGTGAATTGTCTTCCGTAAAACATAAAATAAATTGAAAAAAATAATTAAATTAAGCGAGTTACCCGCGGAGTCCGCGAGTATACCCATTAAACCCACGGATTTAACGGTCCGGGCTAATAAACCCACAATTTAAACGAGCTTTATATTTTGAGGCCCGAAGCCATCACGAGCCTCGGGTTATACGGGTAGCCCGTGGGCCTTAGCCCATATACCCAGCTCTAGTTAGAGGGCACCCAAATTTCTATGTATGAAATCACATCTTCGTGTATGAACGTCGACGAATAAATTTCTCAATCAAATTGAGATTAGAAAAGAAAGAATTTCAATATATAGGATTTTGGTCAATGACATTAGGCCGATTCGATCGATGATATTATAGAGGCCAACATTGATATAAAGAATTGAAATTAAGAATTTTAGAGATTTTAAAGTTGTTTTATAATTTTATAAAATTTTGAGATTTTAAAAAATATAATTTTAACTTTATAATTTAAATATTATTTTTAAAATTTTATAAGTTTAATGTATATCAATTAATACCCATCGTAATAGATTAAACACTTAAAAGTATAATATCAAAAATAAATACTTAAAAGTTATGTAAACACTTAAAAATAACCTAACCTATAATTTGAATACTTAATTTTAGGTTAAAGCTTTTATTTTAGGAAAGTTGGAGTGGGGGACTGGGGACTTGATTTAAAATTTGAAAGTTGAAACTAAAACCCTCGCTTACACAGAGCAGTGTGGACATTGATTTCAGGCAGCAGCACAACACAACAAGGTTTTGACTGAAATTAGAAGACATTGAAATTTCATAATGATGGTGGCGGGGATGGAGGTTCCTGTCATTGGCAGCGACTCCATTAAATGGATTGACCTCACAATTCCTTCATCCATTAACCGCCTTGACGACGGCGCTTTCGCTCCCCCCACGGTGGATTCCGCCTACGCCACTTACATCGACGGAGATGCTCCTTTTCATCTCATTTGGTATGTCTGTTTTTTTTTCTATACATTAGTTCATCAACACAAGCATTGTTTTTTTATTTATTTATTAATAAATTCTTATTCCTCTCTTGTTCGCAACCATCAGCCGAATCCATACTGGTCAACCAAAAGTTCTGGAAATCTTCAATCTCTCGCAGGAATTCCCTCACAACCCTGGGCTCCGCCTTAGTTTCGCTCACCCACTCTCGCTTTTCGCTCTTGTTAGCCCCCATCCAACCAAATCGCACTACTTGCTTTATACTGTCACAGTCTCGGGGATTGCTTACTTCATTAAACTTTCCAAGGACCTGACTTCCTTTTGCTCCAGGGACGAACTTATAGAGCTTGATGCGCGTGCTTATTCTAATTGTAATGAGTCAATTACTTGTATGGCTGCAAACCCTGGATGTCTTTTGTTTGGGAGAAATGATGGATCTGTTACTTGCTTCCAACTTGGCTCGCTTCACCAAACTGCTCCTGGTATCTAGTCCTTTTACATCTTGGTCCAATTTTGTTATGCCATGGTTGTTTATTGTATAAAACTTTCTGACTCTCAACTTTCCCATTTTAGGTTTTGTGTCTGAACTGCGTGATGATTCAGGGGTTAATCTGGGTCGCTTTTGGGGTTTCATGTCAAGGTATCTTTTTTTCTATCTCAAGCAATATGTACATACACACAAACATGTACATTGTACTACAAATGATACACTTATTTGGGGAATGCATGTTCAGTGAAGTTGTCTGTTTTACTGATCTATATTTGGAAAATTTTCAATTCATCAGAATCTGCTTTAAGGCTGTATTTGAATCATGGGGACAATGTGGATGACATTGAAATGTATTATATGTGAAATAGTTGGAAGTATAGTATATGGGTGGAAGTGTTTTCCAATCTTGTTTGAGTGTGAAGGAAACTTGAGGATAAACTATTACACTAACTATAGGAAAAGGATTCCTGTTTTTCCTTTAAAAATACTGTTTCCATGATTCCATCTTGGTTTCTTGTTCATTTTCCTTCACTTTTTCTAACATAAAAATAGCATTAATTGGCATATTTAGTGTTTGTTTACATGTTAATGGAGAAGCTTAAAAATATGTTTGGACAGGACAAATAGATCTAGGGGTTTACCTACTTAATGCTGATCTAAATTTTGAAAATTAATTTGTTTATGTACTGTTTACTTCTATACCCCAAGTCCTGGGTTCTTGGTTAGATTCATGCGAGTGTGGATGTTTGAATGGATTTGAGACCACCTAACCCGTATTACAGCATTAACGGAAAAGGTTAAACTTGTGTTCTGAATTTTATGCTTGATTTAATTTTATCTGTGGTGCTATTATTGTTTTCTCTTCTAATATAGGTCAGTTTTCTTCATATGCCATGCAGGGGGAGGGTTGTTGGGGCTGTCCAGGATTTAATAATAAAAGAGATTGTTGGGAAAAGAGTTGCATTCGTGCTTCACCATGATGGGATTCTACGAGCATGGGATCTTTTATCTCGAAACAGAATTTTAAGTCATGCGATGGCTGTGCCAACATCAATTGAAGGTGATCCTACTACTTGACTATACCTTGCTTCTAGGCTTCTTTAACTGTCTTAGCTTCTATTATGTCCCTTCTCCAAATGTTCAAGTTTTATAGCTTCTTAAAAAATAGGTTCTCCTCGTTGAGGCAAGACTGGCTTTTCTTACCTTTGAATGAAAACATAATGTTTAATGGAACCCTTTCCTGAGAGAGGGAGCAACTGGAGTATTTCTCTTGATCTCTTAATCTCATTGTAGTTTTCATCTAGTGATTGCAGAGAATCAGTGTAGTTTCCTCAGAGGGATCATCTTCTGATTGTTGAACACGCTATATTCGATTTTTACATATCTCAAAAATAGATTTATTTAGTATCATGTGAAATGACCTTTGATGAAGGAGTTTAGCATTTATTTTCTTTTTATGTCCACAAGTGAGAGTATGTGCAATAGAATTTTGTTGCCTCTTTCAGGTTCTTATTGATTGAATTTGTTGTTGGCAATGCCTAGTTAAACCTTCTTGATCGTTGTACTTGCTTGCTAGCTACATGTCAGTGACAAGAGTTGTGTGTATGTAAGACATAGATGTAAATAGCACTATTTAAGAAATTTCTTTATGTATAATTTAAAGTCGGAAAAACTTGTTCCGAATAAATCGTTTTTATTTCTGTCGAATATGGCTGACTTAAATAGAGTTTACAATGTAACAACTTTACATAAAAAGATGCATAAAATTAGCAACAGAATAAAACTGATTCTATCTAATTAAAACTGATCCTATCTAATAACTAACAGAATAAAAACTGATTCTATCTAATTAAAACTGATCCTATCTAATAACTAACAGAATAAAATATCTAGTTAACAATCCTAATATTTAATATAGATAATCTCGACACCCCCCCAAGCTGGAGAATAGATATTGATCATTCCCAGCTTGGACAGAAATCCTTCGAACATCGTAGTAAACAGTCCCTTGGTGAGAACATCGGCGAGCTGCTCTGATGATGGAACAAAAAGTATACATATATCACCATTTTCCAGCCTCTCCTTGATGAAATGTCGATCTATTTCGACATGTTTGGTCCTGTCATGTTGTACAGGATTCTGAGCAATACTGATTGCCGATTTGTTGTCGCAATACAACTTCATCGGTTTATCTCCTTCAACCTTTAGCTCCTCCAAGATTCTCCTAAGCCATAACAGCTCACATACTCCTTGCGCCATTGCTCTGAACTCGGCCTCCGCACTGCTTCTAGAGACATCTGGTTGCTTCTTGCTCCTCCAAGTATCTAAGTTGCCCCAAACAAAGGAGCAATAACCGGTGGTAGATCTTCTGTCTGTAGAACTTCCGCCCCAATCAGCATCAGTGAAGATCTCCACTCTTCGACTTCCATTCTTCGAAAACATGATTCCTTTACCCGGACTCCCTTTCAAGTAATGAAGAATCCCGTAAACAGCCTTGGAGTGTTTTTCTGAGGGACAATGCATAAACTGACTAACCAAGCTCACAACAAATGCACTATCTGGTCTCGTATGAGCCAAATAAATCAGTTTCCCCACCAGTTTCTGATTCCTATTCTTGTCCACAGGCTCAGCACCATCTTCTTTTTGGAGTTTTTGATTCGGATCAATAAGAGTCGCCACTGGTTTACATCCGAGTAATCCGGTCTCTTTCAAGATATCGAGGACATATTTCCTTTGCGAGATAATTATACCTTTTGAGGATCTAGCCACCTCCATTCCAAGAAAATATTTGAGTTGTCCTAGATCATTGACTTCAAACTGGTTGGATAAGAAGTTCTTCAGCGACTCCAACTCTACTGTGTCATCTCCTGTCATAACAATGTCATCTACATACACAATTAAAATAGCAATTTTACCATTATTGTGTTTGTAGAACATAGTATGATCGAACTGGGCCTGAGTGTAACCATGTTGTTTCACAACTCTCGTGAATCTCTCGAACCAGGCTCTCGGAGATTGTTTCAATCCATAAATGGATTTCTTTAGCTTGCAGACCCTGCCATCCTTCTTCAATTCATCAAAGCCTGGAGGAACTTCCATAAACACCTCTTCCTCTAGCTCATCGTTTAAGAACACATTCTTCACATCAAACTGTCTGAGAGTCCAATCCAGATTGGCGACTAGTGAGAGTAGGACACGTACGATGTTTAATTTGGCCACATGAGCGAAGTTTTCCTCGTAGTCAAGGCCGTATGTCTGAGTGAAGCCTCGTGCTACGAGTCTTGCTTTGTATCTCTCGACCATCTGCATGGTATTTGATGGTGAACACCCACTTGATGCCTACAGATCGTTTCCCCTCAGGTAAAGGAGTTAGATCCCACGTGTCATTCTTCTTCAGGGCCTTTAACTCCTTAAAAACTGCCTCTCTCCATCTCGGAACCTCTAGAGCTTCATGTATCGACTTAGGTAGTTCATCATCCATGATCCTGGTGGAAAAAGCTTTGAAATCTGGAGAGAGTTTATGATAAGACACGAAATTGGATATTGGATGTTTTGTGGTACATGATCTGACACCTTTGCGCAAGGCTATGGGTTCAAAGAATTCTGTAGAAGGCTCTAAATTTGGAGAAGAAAGAGAAGTCGTACCTTGGACCATAGTCGAGTCCGATGGTTGGCATACCTTGGGGGCCGGTGGAACATTACTTGGTCGAGTCATCCTTCTAGAATAAACACGAAGTTCAGTAGGTGGTTCCAAGTTGGTTTCTACCTTGGTTCCACTGAGCTATTTACAACTGTTTTTGGCAAGGATGTTTGTTCCCAAAAACTCATTTCAGAATCATTATCCCCCGAAAGAGAGTTTTTGTCAAAAAAAGGTTGTTTTTCAAAAAACGTGACATCCATATTCACATAATACTTCCTAGATTTAGGATCAAAGCATTTATACCCTTTTTGTGTTGGTGAAAAACCTAGAAATATGCATTTATGTGCTCGGGGATCAAGTTTTCCTCTATTTTGGCCGTGTGTATGAACGAAAGCAATGCAACCAAAAATTTTACGTGTTAAATCAGTGAAAGATCTATTTTCAGGAAACATATTCTTTAGAGCTTGCAAAGGAGTGATATAATTAAGAACTCTTGTAGGCATTCGATTTATCAAATAAGACGCTGTTAAGAGTGTTTCATTCCAAAAACGATTAGGAACATTCATAGCAAACAATAAAGCCCTAGCCACCTCTACTAAATGCCTATTTTTTCTTTTAGCAACTCCATTTTGTTGGGGAGTATCAACGCAAGAACTGTGATGAATAATTCCTTTTTGTTTCAAAAAATCACCTAAGATTGCATTAAAATATTCTCGACCATTATCGGTTCTAAGAACTTGAATATTTGCTTGAAACTGAGTATTGATCAGTGAGTGAAATTTTTTTAAAACACTTGCTGCCTCGGATTTTTCTTTTAGTAAATAAATCCACGTGACTCTAGTGTGATCATCAATGAATGTGATGAACCATCTAGATCCTGAGGCTTTTTTACTCGTGAAGGGCCCCAAATATCACTATGCACAAGAGAAAAAGGTTTTGATGGCATATACTTTAAAGATGGATAAACAGATCTATGATGTTTTGCCAATTCACAAACTTCACACTGAAAAGAAAAACCGCCTTTTTTTTTGAAAAGATTTGGAAACAAATATTTCAAGTAATTAAAACTAGGATGACCTAACCTATAATGCCACAACATTATTTCATTCTCACAAGACAACGTTGTAAAGCATCTTGGTTTCTGAACTTGTTTATCTGAAGGATTTTCCGTGACCAAGTGATAGAGTCCATCAACCTCCTTAGCATTGCCAATCATCTTCCTCGAACAAGGGTCCTGAAATTCAAATCCAGCAAATGTTATTGTAGCAATGCATTTGCAATCATGAATAATATGATTAACAGAGATGAGATTGCAAGAGAGCTTTGGGACATGTAGGACATTTAGTAATGTGAGAGATGGAGAAATAATGATAGAGCCTTTTCCAGCTATAGAGGTTAGAGAACCATCAGCAATTTTTACTTTCAGATTACCAGGTAAAGGAAAATAAGATGAGAATATGGAGGAACTACATGTCATGTGATCTGTTGCCCCTGAATATATGATCCAAGGGTTTGATTTAGAACCGGCTATGAAAGCTGTAGGATATGTACCTTTTTGGGCTAATGATGAAGAGGCAATATAAGATGATGGGTTAGTAGTGTTGGATATGGAATGAGAACTCATTAGTTGATACAATTGCTCTAGCTGTTCTTTGCTGAAGGCAGACGGTTCTGAGGCAGGTTTTGGCTCTTCAGAAGCATCTTCAGATGAGGCATGGAATCCCTTTGCATTACGAGAATTCCGATTGGCTGAAATATTCTCGGCTGGCTTCCCGTGTAGCTTCCAACACTTGGCTTTAGTGTGTCCCGGCTTGTTGCAGTGCTCGCAGATTGGCCGATCTCTGTCGTTCCGACGATCGTTGCGACGTGGTGGCTGACCCGAGAACAAGGCAGAAGACTCGGTGGGATTTGGTGAGTGGCCTCCAAGCATGACTGTCCGCCGGCTCTCCTCTCGTCTGACTTCGGAGAAGACTTCTCTTGTGCTTGGTAGTGGTTCACGACCAAGAATGCGCCCTTTGACTTCATCCAATTCCTTGTTAAGGCCGACAAGGAATTCGAAGACGCATTCTTTTTCCACCATCTTCTGGAATAGAGCCTTGTCCTTAGCATAGTTCCATTCGTAGTCGCTGAACATGTCAACCCCTTGCCTATAGACAGAGACTCCATACTGACATTATGAAAACACCAATCAGTTTTTTCCATTGAGAGTCTTTGTCATTTGCATACTTCCAAACCCATTTCCCTAGCAAAACTCTATTAATCATACTCAAGTCCAATACTCCTAAGCCTCCTTCTTCCAATGGTTGACAACCCGTACTCCAATTCACCCAATGAACCCTCTTCTTGTCAGATTCTTCACCCCAAAGAAATCTTGCCAATACTGAGTTAATTTTCTGATTGAGCTTAAACGGAATTTTGAAAATAGAGAGGTAAAAAATAGGTAAGGAGGACAATACCGATTTTATCAACACCAATCTTCCAGCCAACGATAAAGAAGCAGCTTTCCAACCTGCTAATCTTTTTTACTCGTGCGTTTTCAGGTCATTTTCTAAATTCTAATGATGGAGTTTATATATAGATTGGAGTTCTGTTTTGGGTCTGTTGTTTGCTTACTCTTTTACATTAAATTGGAGCTTTTGGGGATACTTGTAATTAAAAAAAATGCTTCTATCTGAAGGAATAACAAAGGTTGTTCTGAAACACAATCTCTCCAACATCCACTTCTAAATGATGTTCTTGCTGCCCCAAAATTACCTGCAAACTTTCTGTAATGTTTATGAGCACTTTCTCGTAAGTTTGTTTCCATTTTTCTTGTTTCTTGTAATTGCAGGAACTATACCCACAAGGTTATGGTTGGGTGACTCTAATAATGATTCAAACATTGTTCCTTTTGCCATCTTGTATAAGAGTACTGTGGTATGTATTTCTGAATTGATTATCGTGTAATATAACATTTTCAATGTAGAAAACATTTTCCAGGAGTCATTTTTGTGAAAAAAACTGGATCCTAAGTTTCTAATTTCATATTGTTAATACTGTCACATAAAACAAGGGTTCCAGTAACTTGTTTTGCTCTTTGTTTCAATGTTGATTGATTTCTTGGTTTACATTTAAGGAAGTTGGCATGGAGATGATTTATGTTTATAGTCTCTGCTGTTCTACGGGGGAGAGGATCAACTTGTCTGTTGATTCTTCAGTCAAAAAAATTCCTTTGGATGAGGTAACAAACTGGTTTGCCCATTCAGTGCTCCTTATTTCCCTCTGTTATGTTTTTTTGGTTGGCATTCGTTTAAAATTGACTTGATAATTTTTTTGGATATCTTACTGATCCAATTTTGGCAGGGGGCATGCATTGATGTCAAACTTACGTCAGACAAGATCTGGATATTAAAGGATAATGGATTGGCATCCCACCACCCCTTCAACAGTAATACCTTGTGAGATTTGACTTGCCTAACCAATGGAAGCTATTTACTGACACATGTTTTTAACATAATTTATTGTGCTGCATATTTTGCAGTACTCATGGCTAGGCATAGTGTGGCTTTAATCTGTGAATCATACTGTTTTCTGTGATATGGTTGTGTTTTATGTGTTCCATGCATTCTTTCATTCTTTGATTAAACATCATAATCTGTCTTGCTTGGTGGTCTGTGTCTCTGTGTATAGTACATTTAGCATAGGTAGTTAAGCGTCACAGATAGGGCTAAACCACATACAAACAAACTAGACATGTTAATTGGATGGACCGTGTGGATTTTGAGTCGGATCAATTTGGATATTAAAATTTTCAGGTTATTTTGGGTTCATGTTATTTCTAGTTCGAGTCAATCTCTGATCATTTGAGTTTACCGGTTGGGTTTTTCGGGTCAGGTCATTGTGGATTTAGGCCATTTCGGGTTACTTGTTTGGGTCATTTCAGTTATGGGTCATTTTTGGGGTTGGGTCATTTCTAGTTGTTTTTTGGCTTTGGCAGGGTTGGGATGTTACTTTTTATGTTCATATCTGGTTGTATCTGGTTTGGGCTAATTGCGTTGGTTTTTCGAGTTTGGGTTATAAATTGACAAGTATAAAACAAACATATATTGGTGCTTTAGTGTTTTTGCTTAATAATTTGGTTAGTTCTAATTTTTTTCCAAAACATTTCTGCTAGGGAAGAGGCACACTGTTATGCTTTACATGAAGAATTTATTGCAGACCAACTGTTACAAAGTTCGGAACACACTTCAGATGATCTTATATCAATAACCAGTTCAATTTTTTCATCTGGAAAGGTTCTCTCATCTATTTTACTTTCTTAAGCTTTTATAGATTTGTTTTTCATATTTATGTTCTATCGACTGCTGAGTGCATTGTATCTGTCTCATTCAAAATTTGTCCACAACTTCAGAATCTAGCACATAATTTCTTACTTTATCCCCTTCTATATTGAAAATAGAAGTAAATCATCTGTGCATTTATTCAGCTTCTCCTTTCGGTTCTTTGGTGTGCTTGGTTTGTTTTCATTTTTATTTTCTTGTGTTTGTATGGAATGAGATGTTTTTCAGAGGTGCGTTGCTTATAAATTCCTTTCCAAATTTTGCAGGATCATATTGTGCCATTTGTATCTTCTATTTTCTTTCGCAGGCTTCTGCATCCTGGGATTTACCATAATATTGTTCTACGTTCAACATTTTTAGATTATAGCAAGCACTGGACTGATAATGAATTTCAGTCATTAACTGTGGATGAACTCAAAAAGGAGATTCTTTCAGTTGTTGAACATGAGGTTTTTCTTTGCTTCATTGTTTGAGTTGTTCCTCTGGCAAAGTTTATGTTCTCTGGAGAACTTGTTCGATTCTAACTTTTGACATTTTTTTTGGTCAGAGTATGGTTGAAAGTCCTATATCAATATTTCAAGGATGGAAAAAATTATGTTGTCGATATTTTCAGTACTGGTGTAAAAAGAATGCTCCATGTGCTTTGATTATACAGTCCACCTCAGGTGCTGTTGGTCTTATCAGAAAACATTCAGTGTCTTTCTTCCGTAGTTTGGAAAGTACTGAGCTGCTTATTGACGGTATGCTGGAGATTCTTGCTATTCATTAACTACAATTAAATTATACTTGGTTTAATTTTAACTGTTTGAATGTATACTCTCTTGCTTTTGTATTCTGCTAGGGTTGTCAGAAGATCTTGCTAATCTTGGTAGCTTTGGCTTGGATTTATTTGATGACAATTCTGATCGCGTGATTCTTTTTGAAGTGCTCAGATGTGTCATAAACATCAGCCAACAGTTGGGAAAATCAGCTTCTTTTGTCTTTTATGAATCTTATGTTGGCAGACCGAGTATATCACCCGAAGAGATCATTCCTCTCTTGGTGAAGATGTTAGGAACTGGATATGCTCCATCAACTAGAGCAAGCTATTTATCTTCTCTTGGATCTGATGTTGCTTTGGAGAGGGAACAGATAGATCATATAAATCTAAGAAAATTTTCTGTTGACATGCTATTATCTCTTCATGATCTTTGCAAAAAAGCTGCCTCGTGGAAAAAAACATTGGATGTCATAGAGAGCTATCTACAATTTATTGTCCCTAAAAAAATTTATCAGAATTTGGGTGCTGAGACATTATGTTGTCTCAACAAATCCATCTTGGTTCATGCTTCCTGCCAGATTGCAAAGGCGATGTTTGAGTCTGCATTCGACATCCTTCTTTTTGTAAGCTATCTGATGAGCATTGGTGCACAGGTGAGTTATTCCGTCTTATATTTGATTTTCTATCAATTTGTTATGAAAGAAAATAAATTGGATACATGTCCATGCTTTTTCTATGTTTGGGTCTGACTTGGTAGTAGTTTTATTGCAAAATGGGCTTTTACCATATTATCCTTCTTTTGAAGCAGAAAGTCTGGTATTAAAGGAATTCTGTGAGTGACATGATTATATATGTTCATGTTAAAGTTTATGTTGACCTATGTTGCTTGGAATCGTGCCAAATGACGTGATCCTGGACATGGGCATGATATAGGATCTGTGCCTGATATAGTAGATAAAGCTAACATCTTGGCAGCAAAGGTTATTTTATATTATTCTCATTAGGATTTTACCAAATCACACTTGCATTGGTAGCCTATATGCTGAAATCTTAAAAGAGTGAGAAGAGATGTTTGATATCGCAAAATCAAAAAGAAAGAGAAGATAATAGTGGGAAGACATACGAAAAACAGGGGGGAGAGTATTAGAAAGATTAGTGGGATGAGGTGTTGCTGGGAAGAGTGAGAGTAGGTTTCAGCAGTGAAAAGATGTTGCAGGGGGTGGAGATTGCGGAATGAGAAAGGTGATGCAGAAAGGGACCGGCTATACTCAAAACAGTCTGTCTCCTTCCATTTCTTTTCCTTCTGTCACTATCTAATACAACTTTAATCATCATTAACTAGTATAACTGTCACAACTTATGTGTGGGTTCTTTGCTCTTTACATATTAATAGTCATGATGAGTGTATTAAAATGTAATAGATAGAGAAGCCTTTAACATATTTAGTTTTATAGCCTCTCTGTTGAAAAGAAAACATAACCATTTTTTTTCTATATTGGTTTGAAAGGAAAAGCTATTTTATACATCTTTATTAAATTTTAATGATCGCTAATGTTGGATCAAATCTTAATATATATTCCATAAAGCTATTTTATGAAATATATAAGTCCATGCACCTTATCCTACTCCAGGATCCTTGCTAAGCATATCCGTGTGTTTAAGATGTTAGACAATTACCAAATCAGATGCTTTAATGCATATACATACCCCACACCCTGCAGCCACATCTGAGTTTGAGCACTATTATTATCTCTTATGATCTAAGAGAAAGCCTTGGAAGCTATATTTGTGTTTGTCAGACTATTAGAGTTCAATGGATTGTTTTTAAAGAAATAAAGATCCTCCTAAAAGATTGCAATTTATTAGGCTGTTTTTTAAAGAAAAAATATAAAGCAGATCTAGTTCTAAAATTATCTCCTTTGCATGCTTAAAAAGAACTTTTTTCTCCAACCTGCATCAACTAGCTATAATTGTTGAACCTATAACCAGTGCTGAAAAAATAAGACCGTACTGGCTGGTCAGCTGGTTAATCCTGGAACCAGTGGCCTGTCCTGCCAGGTATTTATCACAGAACTGCTTTGTCCTCAAACCGGTTGAACCAATTAAAAAATGCAAAAAATTGTTAAAAGAAACAATATTGTTATAATTATGAAATTCAGATAATATGCTCTTTTCCAATTCAATGATGCTCCTCAGTTGAAATACCTATATTGTAATCTTTCTCTATTTTACCTCAAATGCGTCATAATGTGTCATTCAGGTAGGAAAAAAGAAACATTAGTAATAGGTGAAGCCATTTCGTGGTACCCACTTTTGGTGGGTTTTACTGGTGATAAATAAATTTTATTAACAAAGGAGTTTGTAGATGCTTAGTTTAGACTTGGTCGCACTTTTGAGAGGATGGTAAGCTCTTGCAGTTGTGTAATTTGAGAATAGTATTTATTGGGATAGATCATTTTTGTGTTTAATTTTCTCCTTCCTTAACAGTTAGTAGATTATCTATCTTTATGTTAACAATGTATACACTTGATTGTTTGGACACCTTTAAGAGGAACTTACCACTAGATAGTCCAACTTTTGGAGAAATAGACCTATATAAATATTCTTATGTCAAAATATCACTGTGGTATACTAATCTTGGCTTATGTTATATTCATAATAAATTGAGGTGTTTGTTTGGTTTTGTTTGTTTTGACAGTCTTTCCCTTTCCCAAGTAAAAAGCATCATTTATAACTTGCCCAGAATGTAGAACTCTTACCGAGCTATGTTAATTCTTGTCTTTGTACGTTAATTCTTGGTTTTGCACGTACATTTATCTTGTTGGCTCTTTACAGAGGAGATGAGTTTTATTTAAGTTCTAGATATGTAAAAGTTCTTTTTTAATGCAGATTAACATGGTTCATGATGACATAACTAGAATACAAGTTGACTTGATTCCAATGATTGAAGAGATTATTTCTGAGTGGCTTATCATTCTGTATTTTTGCACAACACCATCAGAATCACCTGCAAATGAAGATTTCAGTTCCCAGCTTTCACTGCTACAGATTGGTAAGTTTCTTATGTTTGCTGCTGAGCTTATTTAGGTAATCGGAAACCATCACCATTAAACAGCATATTGTGGTATTGAGAGAGGAATTTGTTATTACTTGCTAGTTGATTTAATTGGTTCTTGTTCTTGTCAATGTTTCAGATAATAAAATCAATAAAAGATCATGGAGGGAGAAACTCGGAAAATGTGATTTCACAATAGCTTCTTTACTTCTACTAAATAATCAAAGTTCTTCTGGATATGAGAGACATCCTTCTTTGGGATGCCTCCTTAATCCAAATGACATAATTACTTCAGTGCAAAAGTTCACCAGTTGGATAGTTTGGGGAAATGCTAGGGAAGTGTCTTCTTCCTTCTTGAGGCGCTCAACTGAAATAGCAATTGTCCTTCTTAGGAATGGCCAATATGATGCTGTTGAGGTTTGTTATTAATTTCTTGCAATTGCTACTTTTAGCATTAAAAATAAATAGCCTCCAAGAGTTGATCTGAAATTCATGTCCTGCCTTGTTTTTTGTGGGTCAAATTTTAATCCTGTCAAAGTACCTACTTGCTATTGTTGAGGCCAATGCAAGAAGGGAAAGGAATTTCAGAAGCGTTCAAGATACTAGTGGTGATTGGTGCTTACTTCAACATCTCCTTGGATGCTGTCTTGTTGCTCAAACACAGCGAGGGTTGCATGGAATCCTGAAAGGGAGGAAAGTCGGTGAAGCTGTTTGCTGTTTCTTCAGGTAATTAGTAATTTAGTTACATCCTAGTCCATAGTTTTTTGGCTGCTTCATCTGTTTGAATTCGAACCTACTTCCCTCTTTATTCCCTTGTATAATATTTTAACCTCCTAGACTTTTTTGAAGTATGCTTGTAAAATGCGTAAATATATGTAGGTATATATATAAAGATAAATAGATGCAAAATGTTTCTAAAATATAAATGTATATATAGTTGAAATTCTATAACATTAATTTGTAAGTAATTTAATATTCTTAGAATTGAAATTTTTTATCAATATAGCAATTGATATAGTTATCGCACCATTATCAAAGGGTTACCTTTCATCATTTTGAATTAATTGCTATTATAATTGAAGTTAATATTTCCTATGAAAGTAATGCAGTGCAATACAAATATTTCTTATCTACAAAATAAATTCTATTAATGAATAATTATAATTAGCAAATAGAAACAGAATTTAGAGCCTGTTTGGATTTGTTTTGAGTCGTCCAACCGGTCTTTTACTGGCTTTTACATGTACACTATCATTCAGTTCTTTTATTTATGTCTCAACCGAGTTGGAACTGCTTTGTTCTACGCAGAGCTGCATCAGGAGAAGGAGCTTCACAGGCCTTGCAGAGTTTATCTGATGAAGCAGGGTTGCCATATCTTGGGTTTAGTAAGTTCATCTGAAGAATATTGTTGTTTTCTAGAAAAAAAAGCAGGACAATTTAATTTCTTGAGCAAACAGATGAGTTTAATTTTCTTGTCCAGATGGTCACGTATCTGCTGCATGGAAGCTTCATTACTATCAATGGGTAATGCAGTTATTTGAGCAATATAACATTAGCGACGGTGCTTGCCAATTTGCTCTTGCCGCATTGGAGCAAGTTGATGAACTTGACCTTAGAGGTGATGGCTTTGAGAGAGATTCATCTAATGAATCCACCACTATCATCAAAGGACGTCTTTGGGCAAATGTTTTCAAGTTTACGTTAGATCTTAACCTTCTGAATGATGCATACTGTGCAATAATTTCAAATCCAGATGAAGAGAGCAAGTACATCTGCTTAAGGCGCTTTATTATTGTTCTCTATGAATGTGGAGCAATAAAGGTTATCTTACATGTCTTACCTTTTGGTTGTTCTAGATACTTTACCCCCAGTTCAGTGTCATGCATATTTTGTCAAGTATTGTATGTGGCTAATTACCAGCTCAAGTAAATCACAGTGCTTGATGAGTAGCTTCAATGCCATTGACGACATCCTAAGAACAAAAATCATTCAAAATTAGTAAAGCAAGATTTGACATTTCGTTTTGTTTGAAAATAAAGGTGTTGAATCAGATTAGAGAATAAGGAAGAGATTCATGAATCATGACAGTCACTGTTGTGGATATAAATTTTTGTTTGGAATTGCAACTTTCATTCTTGCTGTTTTTCTTTATTTTACCATGTTGCTTCCTCTGCATCGCATGCTGTCATCTTCATTTACCATACTTATTCTTGCAGTGTTTGTTGTATTATTTATTTGGCTATTTATATTGTGTCTGTGGATAATAAATTGACACTTACTGGGAATTTGTTCTACTTTTCTCATAGCAGATTCTCTGCAATGGTCAATTGCCCTTGACTGGTTTAGCAGACAAGGTTGAGCGTGAACTTGCATGGAAGGTATGGAATACTTAGGAGATTTGAACTTTACTGGATGCTGTTCTTGACTTATTTTTCTTGCACACTGATCTCTTAGGCATCCTTTAATGCTGTAATTTGTAGGCGGAACGTACAGATATCTTGGCAAAGCCAAATCCATACAAATTCCTTTATGCATTTGAAATTCACAGGCATAATTGGCGCAAGGCAGCTAGTTACATATATCTATATTCTGCTCGCTTACGAGCTGATGCAGTTATGAAAGATCAGCAGCATATGTCAATTACACTGCAGGAGAGGCTGAATGCACTCTCTGCTGCTATCAATGCCTTACATCTTGTCCATCCTGCTTATGCTTGGATTGATCCTCAGCCTGAAGGATATCCTCTTCGGAATGATCACTATCCACGGAAAAAGGCTAAAACGACAGTGAAAGAACAGTGTAATTATTACACTGACATAGAGCTTTATTATTCTTTGATGTTCTCAATTTTGTTGTCGTCAAAAGATGCATAATTATAGGAAAAATGGACCTATTTGATGCTCTTATCATGTCTATGTATGTATTCGGTTCTCTAATCAGTTTCAAAGTTGTGTGACCTAACAAATTTGATCACCCTTTTTCTACTGCAGCTGTTAATGATGTACCAGCTCAGAGGCAGCAATTTTGCATCGATATTGAGAAACTTGAATATGAGATTGTGCTAACGTCAGCAGAATATCTACTTTCACTGGCAAACGTAAAGTGGACATATTCTGGTATTTTTCTTAAACTCCTTTATTTTTCACAGATTACTTCATTTCTTAAGATTTTCATGCTTAATTGTCATTTCTTAAACAATTCTGTGAATAAGCAAGACGTAGATGCAAAAAAGCAAGATTACAGTCCATCCAATTGAACCAAACAAGAGAATTTAACATTACCAGTAACCTAATTAGGGGTAATCCTATTACCAAAGGATTAATCAGTATCCAAACCAAAAGCCCACTTAGATCGGATGATATTGATTAAAATGATATTTAAAAAGAAGGTAATAATTATTAATTCACCTGTAATTTAAAGCTGTCAGTGATATTAAAAATGCCAAATCACTCCAAATTTATTTTAGTGCCCATTAAAATTGATTTCAATTATTAGGCTTTTTTTTAAAAAAAATTAAATGATTAACCAAAATTAGAACATTTTCAACACTTGTATAAATGTGAGCTGTATTATAAATTGATAATAAATGATCCAAAAAGACCAGAAGACTGAGGCCGCACATGAGTCTCACTCACCTTGTTACCTGAAAATAATGGGAAAAATCAATTCTTTATTTACCCGGAGAACATATATATACACAATAATGCTAGCCCGAGAGAAGAAACAAAATAAAGAACTAGCTTGTGGCCCAAGAATAAAACAAAGCTATACAACTTTATTAATTATATTATTTACATCTTGTAACAAGTTTTTTTTTCTTGTTGGAACAACTAGAATAATTGTTTAGGATTAGGGTTGATAGTTGGTCGATAAATATCAATGTACTCTTTCTTTCGTAGACAGATTATGATGAGATTTTTAGCATTAACTAGGATTGTTTAGGATTAGGGTCAATGTAATGCATAGTTTTTATTAATTCATGGTTATGTTGATGCAATCAACCAACTGTCATTCTGTTAGTAAGAATCTTTTGTTTCTTAATTCATAGGAATGTCACTAATTTCTAGGGATTTTGTAAAGAAGAATGCATATATAATTAATATTCTATTTAAGCTAAGCTATGCCAAAAGCGTCCACAACATTACTCCCTCTTGAAGAAGAAGCTTGTTGTCAAGCTAGTTCTATAACTTGTACATGAATGGGTGGATTTGGTTTGCATTCAATTTCCAGATAAAGTATCCTCTTGTATTGGTGCCGTGGAACCCACACAATTCATCACAATTATAACATATCCCTTGACACACCTTTCTGCGATTGTTATTTTCTTAATAAATGGACAAGCACTGCTAGAATTAGTTGAAGTTGTATTTGAAATTTAGTCTTATACCTTGGAAGTTTCTAGTTTCTCTGCATTTAAATTGGCTTGGATAATTCTGAGTACACTGTATAATTGTTGCTTTTCTACATGCTTGGAAATACATTTTTGAAGAGAAGTAATTCTTGGTAGATTTAGCCTAGTATGGTTTGTAGAGAACCTGGTAATATGTTAACAGATAAAATCAGTATTACTGTTTGTAAGATTCTTATGCAATTTGAGAAGTTCATTATATCAATTTTAGGCATGTGCTCATAGTACTAATTTGCGATCGTGGTTGAGGCTGTGTCGCGGTTGCGGTTTTTGCGGACATTATGACATGATTTGTGTCCTAAAAATAACAATGTTTCTAAATTGCGGCCGCAATTTAGTACTATGTATGCTCTTGTGTACAGCTGGTTTACTAGTTTTATGATTTTAATAAATGGTTTTTGTTTGAAAGAAAAGAGGATGCTCCATGTCAATGTTTTGCTGAAGGGAGCTCTTATTGTCCACTTTTAACTGTCACTTCATTTTTGGATGATTCATTACTTTTAATTGCTTTCCAGGGATCGAAAAGGCCCCATCTGATCTGGTTGAGCTTCTAGTTCTAACAAATTTATATGACATGGCCTTCAGTGTTATTCTAAAATTCTGGAAGGATTCAGAATTGAAGAGGTGGAAATATTTACCCTTTCTGCTGCTTCATTAAATGTCCTGTTGATAATGTGTTTCTGGAATGTCCATTGAACTTAATAGTCCTTTTTGTTTAGGGAATTGGAAAAGATATTCTCTACTATTGCATTAAAGTGCTGCCCTATTACATTTAACTCTTCTTGGACTAGGTAAAATCAATCGTCTCTCACACTTAATTTATTTCACTTTTTCTTTTTTTATTTTCCAATGAAACAATTTTTTCATTACATAATACAGCTTTACTTTTTGGATTGATTTCAGACCGCACAGTCTATTATTGACTTCATCCAAGGATGAATTGGTTGTTCACGGTTCACCTGATATGGAGCTCACCAATGAACAAGCTAAGGCGAATGGTCATTGGGAAACTCTTGAGCATTATCTTGTTCGTATCTTCTGCCTGTTTCTCTAGTTCTGAAATCTCTCTTATCGTACTTGTTTCTTTTGCTACTTGCTTTTTGTCACCTTAACAAAATAATGCTAGAAGGCAAATGCAATAAAATGAAAAACCACAAACTAATGATTACTTAAAACTAAAAGAAACGAGTAATACACCCCAATCTAACCTGATTAATCTATATAAAAATAAAATCATGCATTTTTCAAAATGTGCTGTTTTAATTTTTAATTATTAAAACTCATTAATTGGTTTTCTTATAACAATGCACTTCTTGATTTTCCCCCAGAAATCGAAAGCAAATTATGATAGAAAACAAGCAAAACATATTAATTTTGATTGAAGATATTATCAAATAATGGAAAATCGGCATCAAGGTTTTCAGATAAAGGACCTAACATCGGACATTATGTTGTAACCATGAGAAAAGAGGATGCTAGAAGTGCAGCTGGTTTCTCATACAACAGTTTAATATATATAGTCTCCTATTTAAGTGTTTATGCTAGTTGTTAAGATTGGGTATCATTTGTCCTAGCGATTTTTGACACAGCACAGAAACGACGTTTAATGTATATGGGTTTTATGTACTTGTGTTTTGTGCCATAATTGTTCTGACACGTGAAGGGTCAATTGGTTTCCATTTCTTTCTTGGGTTTAAAGCCCTAAGTAATGTAAATTGGTAGAAAAAAGAACACGAAAGAAACCTTAAAAGTTTTTCCATGTTACCCTTTCTGTTTTCCTTTTCTTATTCTCTTTTTCCACCTGACTCATCTTGGGATGTCTGTGCATTGCAGGAAAAGTACAAATATATTCATTCTAGATTGCCGGTAGTCGTTTCTGAAACACTTCTTCGTACTGATCCACATATTGAATTGCCTTTATGGCTAGTTAAAATGTTCAAGGTAATACTTCTACCCACAGTATATATCTTTCATCTATTTTCTTTGTAAGGAAAAAAATTTATAAGGTTCGAGGTACTATGATTCAAATGAGAACGAAACGCATGGTCTAGAATGGCGCTATTAAGATAGCACAATAATACGCAAGTATGAAGAGGAGAGAAAAAGGACAAGGCTGTAAGTTGATATATAATTGCTTCACATAAAAAACCATCAAGCTAGTAAAGTGATTCTGGTGGGACAAATACAAAAGATTAAGTAGGGAAAAGGGAAAGAAAAGAAAAAACCCCAAAAATGAGTTTTTGAATTTTCACTCATCTTTTTATCAACTCTATCTTGCTGCCCAAAAGTTTTTTCTTACATCAGTAGCCATTTATACCAGTTGGCTCAAGGATAATTTTATTTGAATGAATGCAACTGATCTGCTTACAATCATGTGTGGATTTCGCAACACATTCTATTGGGTTTGAGCAGGAAAATCAGAGGGAGAGCTCCGGTGGAATGGCTGGTCCAGAGCCTAGTCCAGCATCCTTATTTCGACTATATGTCGATTATAGTCGATATACAGAAGCAACAAATCTGTTTCTTGAGTATGTAGAGGTGTTTGCATCGATGGTAAGTTACAAAATTTGATTGCTATATTTGCTTAATGTTATTCATCTGTTTTCCATAACGAGTGTATGAATGAATGCATGCATGCATACATATATACATACATAAGGACTCCTAATGTCAGAAAACATTCATGATATTTCAATCCATGTTTTACTTGAATATTTGACACCCAACATTTTATTCTTCTATCAAAAAAATGGCGGAAGAAGCTCTTAAAAAATGAATCTCAGAATTGTTTTTTGAATCTGATTGTCGCCGCATTGATTGGTTTCACTTATCCGACTTCTAGTATCGCAGTGGAAATTTACCAATAAACATCATGGAACCCAAAAGGAAAAGTGAAATTACTTGGATGTTTTATCGAATTCTTGAATATTTTTCTATGTTCTTTTTGTAGTTCTCTATATACGTTCTTCATTTGTATGGTACCTTGTGGCAGTCGTATTCTGGTGGCTTTGCTAATAAGTGTTAATGTAAAACATTTCTTCAGAGACCGGTAAACATAATTAATCGCAAACGACCGTCTGCAGTATGGTTCCCATACAACACAGTAGAGCGGCTTTGGTGCCAACTAGAGGAGTTGATGAGGTCAGGTCACATGGTTGATCAATGTGATAAGCTCAAAAGGCTACTGTATGAATCTCTACTAAATCATCTAAAGCAGGTATGTTCCATTTAGAATTAATATTTGCTCTTGGCTTTTCACTGCCTAACCATTTGGCCAAATGTTTTCAGCTAAAGGTGGATTCAGATGATGTTGTTTCTTCAGTAGGCTAAAGAAAATCTCATCACAAGGTAACATCTTGAATCATTGAAAAACTCTGGTCTGGTTAGGGTTCTGATTGCATACCACATAAGCGCTTTGTAAAGAGAAATCACCAGGTTTTCCCATGTCTTGCTGTTACCTTTCACAATTATAGTGCAGTGACTAATACAATCTAGTACCAAGCTTTTATTTAAGAAAATCCAATATGAAACTTGTATCTCAACAGTATAACAATTGTAATCACAGTGGCCTAGCGTTTCTAGTTATTTTTCAATATACTGTATTCTATTGTTTGTTGTATCCTTTCATATACTGTATTCTAGTCATTTTCCAATTCCAATTTTATTATTGTAGGGTTGGGAAATATTTTATCAATAAGGTTATAAACTCAAATTCAGATATTATACTAAAAAAATATTAAATTTCGAAATATTGCATTTTTTAGGACCACATCGTCTATTAAACCTTGTTAAGATTTAGAAAGAGAAGGTGTCCTCCTTCCCAAGTTTGGCATGTGAATATCATTCTTGTGAACAATGAAACACAAAAATGGAAAGAAGAAAATTGAGACGACTTATAAATTTTTATATGTTTGTTATTCCTTTGATAACTAAAGCTAGAAGAATCTCTCTTTTTATTCAAAATGTACTTTTTATACAAACTATAATTTTTCTACCCTAAATATTTATCTTATTCATATTCTTCTGAATATTACGATTATTACGATATTAATTTTTTTATAAGAAATAGAGGTCTCATTAAATTCCCTTTCATGTTTTTCAGAATACTATCAAGTATCCGAAAAATAGTGGAAGGAAGAAAAAGAGTACATCGAATTTTATTACCATTCAAACAATTACAGGTGATCCATTATGCCACCACCTATAGAGTTCCTTATAGTTTTCATGTACGATAAAATGATCAAGCACATTTATTACAGTAATTGAAAATTTATTTATTTCTGTCTTTATTACAGTAATTGAAAATTTATTTACTACTCTGTCTTAATTAATTTATAACGCCAAAACTTTTAAATTTTGGTTTTAATTACTTTAATTTTTATAATTAATATATTTAAAATATTTTTTTATAACTTTTTATCAATAATATATTTAACATAATAAGTAAAATTTTTAAAAAATGACTATTAAAACCTAAAATGTAAAAAATTATTAAAACATGCAATATTAATGATAATATAATTAGGTGAAATAATTTGAGAATTGAGAATGAAAAAACTAATATAAAATTAAAAAGAGAATTGAATATTTGTTGACCTAATGGGTCAAAAATTGTCCGTCTCGTATAAATTAGCGGGTCAGATATTCGATCCGAGAGTTCAAATAAAATATCAAATTATTTTTATATGCATCGCCGTATATCAATTTTAATAATTTTGAACACTTCTAAATATAACTCACGTCTATTATTTTTAATAAAATTGGTAAAAAAAAAATAGGCGCACGTTATGTTTTCTCTCGGTGCATGTTAGTTGGGCTAACAGCGATTGAAGACGCAACCATTTTCTTCTTCGATCTGATTCTTTGATTCTCTGATTCTTGTACCGATTGCTAGTAATTGTTTTAGGGGTTTTCTTTGACTATGTCTAGTGAGTCTTCCACTGATTGGAGGAAGCTTTTTGCTGCGGGAAATGAGCAAGAACTTTCATTTTTTCCTCTGACAGAGATGGAAGGTTCGTGTGTGGTTAAACCCCCAAAAGACGTGTTTGAAGAAGGTATTATGGATTGGAGGTTTGCCCTGGTGGGTCAGTTCGTTGGAGTTATTCCGAATTTCAGTTCACTTCAGAAGATCGTTGATCTAATGTGGGGAAATGTTGCTCCGATTAAGGTCAGTTTGGCGGAACACAACCTATTTGTTTTTTCATTTGTTAGTTCTTTTGCCAGGGACTGAGTTTTAGAAAATGGTCCCTGGCACGTTCAGCATAACCACTTTTTCTTCGCAAATAAAAGCCAAACTTAAGAGAATTACAGTTTGACTTAGTTCGTATGCCAGTCTGGTTTCAGTTGTTTAACGTGCCTTTGGAACTGTTTTCCAAGAAGGGTTTGAGCTATATTGCCAGGGCAATTGGCAAGCCTATTTTAATGGACTCGATTACGAACTCTCGAGAGAGGCTCGAGTACGCACGAGTTTGTATCGAGATCACTACTGGTTCTAGAATTCCAGATCATATTGACGTGATGCTTTGTGATGAGTCAATTGTTAGCATCAGAGTTAAGGTTCCATGGATGCCTGCCTCTTGTAGTGATTGTGATCGTTTTGGACATTCGGAGAAGCTCTGTCCTCAAGTGAAGAAAGTTGTTCAGGTATGAAGGGCTAAAGGGGCGATGCAAGGAACCAATTGTCCTGAGCTTGGGAAAGATGAGGTTGTTTCTGGTAATGGTGATACTATTAATTCCTCTGCTCATCTACCTTGTGTTACTAATAATGTCTTGAAAAGTGCTGGCAAGGCAAATGCTAAGGATGATACTGGACAGGAGGTAGCTCAGGATATTTCACATTCATATACTGGTAATGAGAAGTCCTTGGAAAACAATCAACTTCCCAATCTTATTGTTGTTGTATCTTCTGGTCAGGGCAGCAATCCTCAGTTGAAAAAAGGAAGAGGCAGACCCCCTAAGGGAAGGGGGAAATTGGCTGCGGGTGGCTCAAAGAATAAATATGAGGTGCTTAGCTCTATTGATCCTGAAACTCTGTTACCATCTATGGATTTTGCTAAAAAAACAAAGAGCAACCTCCCTTGGTGTTAACAAGCTAATGCAAGACTTAAAACTAAAGAAGAAAGAGCATGTGAGTAAAGCAAAAAATCTGGAAGAATACGATAATGCTTATTCCTCTGTCCCTCTTTTATGTTAATATGCTTTTAAAATATTAGGGGATTCAACAACCCCCTAAAACAAATTAAGGTTTTATGATGGGCGGTTAATTGTCAGATTAGTGTTTTGTGCCTCCTTGAAACGAGAGTTAAAGAGAATAACTCTGGGGCTATTTTAAATCAGAAATTTGCAGATTGAGACTCTTGTTGCAATTATAATCATGTTGCAAATGGTCGCATTTGGATTCTATGGAATAAAAGCCTTAGTTGTGCCATTATTTCAGTCTATGATCAAAGTGTTACTTTCAGAACCAACTATGGAGGAAAGGATTTCTTTATTTCTGTAATTTATGGCTCCAATGACAGTAGTCTTCGCAGGCAGCTATGGTCTCAACTAAGACTTATTGAGAACACTATTGGTAATGATTTAGGAGGTGACTTTAATGTCATCCTCAACCCCAAGAAAGTTCTGCCCCTATTAATACTAGTTTGAGAGTGGATGTTTCTGAATTCCAGAGTTGTGTGGAAGATCTTGGTCTTACTAATCACTCTTTTATAGGCCTTTTATTCACATGGTCAAACAAGCAGCAAGATAGTTTTCTGGCTTGAAAACTAGACAGTGTCCTTATTAATTCGGCTTGGTTTGGAGATTTTGCTGATTCAGAGGTTGAATTTTTAGCCCCAGGTAATTCTGACCACTGCCCAACCTTTGTTTGGCTCTGTAAGTCTGCTCTAGTCTCTAGACCGAAACCTTTTAGATTTTTTAATTTTTGGACTTTACACTCTCGGTTCATGGCCACTGTAGAGGAGTCTTGGCAATCTCCTGTTATTGGTAACCTTACTAAGATTTTATTCCTAAAGCTCAAGAGATTGAAAACTTTCCTCAAAGAGCTAAACAGTTCCCATTTTAATGACATTTCTGGCTTGGTCAAGTTAAAGAGGGAAGAGCTCCAAAATATCCAATTGGCCAACCTTGACTCTGGTTTTGTTGGTTATGCTGTTAACTTGGAGCTAGAGACTGAGAAAGAACTGAAAGCCCTTGAGGGTGTTGAGCTGTTTATTTACAAGTAGAAAGCTAAGGTTACCTGGCTCAATGAAGGTTTCTAAGGGACCAAATTTTTTCACTCCATGGTGTCTTTTAAGAAGAAGAGTAACACTATTAGAGTCCTCCATGATCATAATGGTGTTAAGTTAGATTCTTTTGAAGACATGGCTAATGAGATAGTTAGATTCTTTAAAAGGTAGTTGGGGATAATTGATCCTAATGTTGAAAGTTCTAATGTCAATATCATTAGAGACTTACTTGGCTACTCTCTTCCTGTGGAGGTTGCTGACTCTTTATGCAATGAAGTATCTGACTTGGAGATCAAGGATGCCATCTGGGGACAAGGGAATGATAATTCCCCTGGCCCAGATGGTTATAACCCCTATTTTTTCAAGACAACTTGGTCAATTGTTGGTGAAGATTTCAAGAATGCCATCAGGTTATGTTTCTCCAATTCCTTTATTCTGTCTTTTTTCAATGCTATTGCCATTGTCCTTGTGCCTAAAATCCCTAATCCCATGACTGTTAAAGACTTTAGGCCTATCTCACTTTGTTCAGTGATTTATAAGACAATAACAAAAATTTTAGTTAATCGATTGGCTACTGTTTTTTCTGGGATGATCTCATTTAATCAAACTGCATTTGCAAAGGGAGGAACATAGTTGATAACACCCTTTTAGCCCAAGAAATTGTTCGGGGATATTCTAGGAAACATAACTCCCCCCACTGTGCTTTGAAAATTGACTTGCATAAAGCATTTGATTGCTTAAATTGAGATTTTGTTAGTGTCATCCTTTATTCTTTGGGGTTACCTGAGAGGTTTATTAGGTGGATTTAGGTCTGCTTCACCAATCCTAAATATTCTATTATGTTGAATGAGAGCCTTGTGGGCTATTTTAAGGGTGCCAGGGGTGTTAGGCAAGGAGACCCCCTCTCCCCTGTCTCTTTGTTTTAGCCATGAATGTATTGTCCAACTTGTTGAATTTGCCTTCTATGAATGGTATCTTCAAATTTCATCCCAAATGCAAGAAGATAAAGCTAACCCACCTGTGTTTTGCTGATAATCTTCTAATTTTCTGCAAAGGCACCATTGACTCAATTATTGATGTGTAGTATGTCCTTGATAAATTTTATTCCCTATCTGGGTTAAAGCTCAATGCCAACAAATGTGAGATGTTCGCTGCTGGAATCTCCCCTGCTCAGTGTGCTATTATTCATGAGATTACTGGTTTTAAACATGGGATTCTCCCTGTGAGATATCTTGGCGTGCCCCTGGTGACAAGGAAAATCTCCGTGAATGACTGTCAATCTCTGGTTGAAAAGATAAAGGCAAGATTGAATTTGTGGGCTAACAGGCATCTAAGCTTTGC